GAAAGGCTGCCTTCTTCCGGTCTTAGCCCTAAGGTAATCGTTAGATATTGACTGAACATGAGCTTTGGGGACCTCACCTGAAACCAAAGAAAACCGCAAAAGAATAAGACATGAATCGCCGGTAGTCAATAAAGCTAAGGAGTCCCTTATCCCAGACGCGACTGTGACATAAGGCAGCCGGGCTCACCAAAAAGGAAATCCATCGAAGCCTCTTCCATATGCTCAGAGCCAACTTCACCGAGGCCTCACCCGCGAAATCCACAGGCCTTTCCACCTATGCAAAGCCAAGCAACAAAATAGAAGTAGCAAAAGAAGGTTATCCAAAAGCTGATAAGAAACCAACCAACGGAGCGCCAAAACAACGGGTANAGGAAATCCATCGAAGCCTCTTCCATATGCTCAGAGCCAACTTCACCGAGGCCTCACCCGCGAAATCCACAGGCCTTTCCACCTATGCAAAGCCAAGCAACAAAATAGAAGTAGCAAAAGAAGGTTATCCAAAAGCTGATAAGAAACCAACCAACGGAGCGCCAAAACAACGGGTAATCAGGAGATCTTTTGACTCTCATAAACACATATCTCATGTTCCACGAATCGCTAAAGGGAAAGCTGCCACGAATGCCATGCGGTGGTTCACTCACCAAAGCTTCCTCCTCTCGGGACCATAGTTGGTACATCTCCCTCTTATTATGTAGAGAAACGAAGCTGTAAGAGTATAAGATTTCAGATACTCCCAGTGGAATACCATCAAAATCCCCCAGCATCTGGATGGAAATCAACGTGCGCCATGATGATGGAGTGAGCAGTGAAGGGGAAAACTCAAAATACGACGAATCCTCCGCTACCAAGGAAGGGACACCGCTCTTAAGGCCTGCCTCCAGATAATCCTCATAGATGGCCACTTTTCCAGCACCACCATTTGATGCGCGTTCAAATTCCCCATCTTAGTTCCGTTGAGTCGGGAATAGAGTAATTTTTACGGATCTCGGCCAAGCCCTCTTCCCCAATGTTTGATCAAGGACCGTTGCCACCTACTTCATGAGGTATGCGAAAGAGCCTGCGTCGTAGAGGAGCCTTGGGAGTCACCACATTGTCTGCTCCAAGAGTAGCTCCGGAGGACATCACGGGGGAAGAAAATAGAACAGCAGAAGCACGACAGGGCCTGACGTGTCCCCCAACGCACGAAGAAGAAAACAATGAAAAGTTGACCTGATTGCTCCTCTTCTCGAGATCATAGGAAAGGTGTTTAAGGTCTGAGGTGCGATTATCAACGGAGAAGGAGCACGAATATATATCCGAGCCAAAACCCTCGGCCAGTTACAAAAAAGGAAAGGACGTATCTCAATAAAAGTAGAAAATTGAGAAAAAAAGGAAAGGAAAGAGAGAATATCAGATATTTCCCATTTTTCCACTCCGGCGAAAAGAGAAATATCGACGGGTCAAAAAGGCATCTCAAAATTAGCACGAGCAGCTAAGGTTTCCCCTACCCCTCCATTCAAAGTTACGCCAAAAGGTCAAAGCCTTTCCCACTTGTTCCATTTCAAGCTACCCGGCAACCGGAAAGACATGCGCATTTTAAATCAAAAATCATACACCAGATCACAACTTTGCACAACCAATTTCAAGCAGGCCCATGACCTAAAGATATCTACTGAATGTTGTTTTACCAAGGGAAACGTAACTCATTCCAGGCCCTAAGCACGGTTCCAACCTAACCAGGACCTGGAGGATAGGGCGTCTAGAGAAATGCCTTACTTAAGGGGAATCTGCTGAGATAAAGCGACTACCGTCAACCTAGACACATTTTATCCCTCGATTCCAATGACGAAATTAAGGAATAAGGGGCAAACTGTTGGTAAAAAATATCCAGGCACCAGATTCCTACAGATTTTGAGCTGGGCACCGGCCTCGAAACCCCTGCTCTGAAGGGACCTAGGGCCCGGACCCTGCATCCAGGTTCCTAAGGCCCGACCTCTGCTCCCAAACCGACCCCTGGGTAAAACGGAAGTTCTCCATCTAAGGGAATTCTTCCATATTTGTCAATATGGAAGGGTTTAACCTAATACAGCCGACATCTACACCTATAAAAGGGGAACCTAAACCCTAGAACAAGGGATCGACACTTTAGAGATTAAGAGACTAGGTCTAGACAGCGAGAATTCCGGTTCTGACACAAAAACATTGTAGTCCCCTTTTTAATGATCAATAAAACGTCTCATTCTCTATTGTTTCTCTTTGTTCATACTAAAACCTCTAGGTTCTGTAGTACTAAAACGACCCTACACAAAAATACCATAACAATAAATACTTAGGTGGTGGTTGAGGAACTGGAGTAAATGAAGGTGGTTGGGGCGATGGTGGTTTTGCTGAGAAGCTCTTCTTCACTTTCCTGGTTCTGAAAAATACAAGCAATCTTCTCAATTAGTTTCTGGGACCTAAATCTCGTGAAAGGCCCAACATATATGACAAATAGATCTTTTTCTGAACATTGTTGCATCCACATGATTGCATCCACATGATTGCATATCCACTCGGGTTTATCAATAGCGTCGCATCCAAGGGATTTCATCCACTAGGTTCATCTATAGCTTCGTATCCATGGGGTTGTATCCACATGTCATATCCATGAGTCTGCAACCAAACCAGTAGCTCTTCTCTGTCTAAAAACTTCATGAATGAGCCCAATAAGGACAATAATAACTTTCTTTGATTGTGCAACAGTTTCTGCTCCATTTGATATAAACCAAACCTTCTTGTCTTTGTACTTGCTTTCTAATCAGGTTTGCATCATCTCCTCCTCATTTAAAAGGATTTTTTCCTCAAATCCAAGTCTTCTAACTGATCAGACTCATTCATCATATGCTTCCCATGCTTGACTCTAAGCTTGAAAGAAGATGTTTTCAGATCCAGAATGTTGTTACCGCTTTCAGACTCACCAAAATTCCTCCTGGTTCAAACAAAACCTGCTGCAATCCTATGACAACCAACGAGTGCTCCACAAGGTTGAATTGAGTGCATGACATAGGGTTGATAAAAAAGTCAGAAGTCAAAGTCTTAATATTTTCACCTTGATCAACCGAATGTACACCAATTATGCGGCAGTAGAAGAATCCTCAAGCACTTCCTCTTTTTTTCTTGGTTTGATCAGGTACATAAACACACATAAATTGTGTTTCCTTCTCTGGTTCCAGACACTGATTAGTTGATTCTGACGCCATATCTTTTTTCTTCTCAACAAATTCTTCATGTTCAGTTACAGCCGCAGGCAAATGAGACTCTTGTAGTTGATCAGTGCTTCAGACTTTGTAGGCAGCATGCTTCTACACTTGGTACTATCAACACACAATCTTCTCATGATTTCAGATATCATAGCCTCCACTTGTAACAGATTAATATTTAGTGTTGGTGGATTAGCTTTTCCTTCAGATTTAGCCATGGGTTTGCTTAGTCTGAGATGAGATGCTGATGATGGTTCTTTCTTATGAATTGGTCTCCTGTCATATTTTTCTTTGACAGCTTCAAGGAATTCTTTTGGTATATACCTGTTATCCATGATGTTCTGTAGCTCCTCCCAAATTGTGATTGCTGCTTTTCTTTGATACCAATGTTTCTCTCTCCCACCATATTCTATCCTCACCTTGTAGTCTACTAGCAGCCACTGATAACCTCCCATTCTTGGGTATGTGATTGTGCCCGAAACATGTTTCCACATTTCCGGAACAAGAAAGATAGATTTCAGGACAATTTCTTCCATCAAAAAACCTAGGTATGAACATAGTGATGTGTAGTCAAACCCAGCAACAGAGAATTTTGAAATCAAACCCAGTAAACAAAAGAACAATCGAACTCTGACTCATAGAAACAGAGAAGTCAAAATTAACCCAGAAAAAAAGAAACTGAACTGAAATTAAAAACCCAGAAAACAGAGAAGTTGTAATAGACACAAGGTTGAGAAATCAACCTAAAAATGAATCGATCTTCAGAGTGGTGTTCTGATACCACTTGATGAAACCCTCCCTAGGATACTCCACTCTCATTTTGGTTGGATCAAACAAGAACAGATGATAGATGCTCGATTTTAGGATGGATAGATGAATGGCCATTTCTGGATAGATAGATGGATCAATAGGTCACACTGAGGTTCCGGAATGGCCTCAGATTCACCACTCTTTTTTTCTGGATATGACACACTAGTCAACAGGTTGCTGATTTGCTTTGGGTTTATACACCTCCACAATCAGGTTGTTCATAAGAACAAAGAATCATCAAATAGAAATGAAATGATTTTTATAAAAGTGATGATTTAAACTTCTGGTACAGACTCAACACACTTAAATAGAAAATACAAGACTTGCTGCATGATCAGCACAGAAACATAAAACAGACAAGGTGATAAATAGTTAGGTGGTTGTTGAGGAACTGGAGTAAATGAAGGTGGTTGGAGCGATGGTGGTTTTGCCAAGACGCTCTTCTTCACTTTCCTATTTCTTAAAAAGACAACCAATCTTCTCAATTAGATTCTTGGACCTAGATCCCGTGATAGGCCCAACAGATATGACAAATAGATCTTCTTTTTGAACATTGTTGCATCCACGGGATTACATCCACTTGGGTTTATCAATAGCGTCGCACCCACGGGATTGCATCCACTCGGGTTCATCAATAGAGTCGTATCCACGGGGTGTATCCACGTGTCGTATCCATGGGCTGCAACCAAACCAGTAGCTCTTCTCTGTCTAAAACTTCATGAATGAGCCTAATAAGGATAATAAGAACTTTCTTTGATTGTGCAACAGTTTCTGCTCCATTTGATTTAAACCAAACCTTCTTGTCTTTGTACTTGCTTCTGATCAGGATTGCATCACATAGCTTCGTTGAAGATTCAGAATTCATGAAGAAGAAGAAATACACTTAAAAGTTAAAACACTGAGGAAATAGCTCAAGTGATACTTATTTGGTTTATGAAATATTTTTAAAAAAAAAACTGGTTAAGAAAGTAGTTATGAAGATTGAGCGACCTTGAACTGGACTCCAATAATCTGAAGCTTAACCATGGTGTGGCTTTTTCGAAGAGTGTACACCCTCTGCTTCGGGGGACTCTGCAGAAGACATGTCAGATGAAATAGGGATGTCGTTGGTTCAGTAACACCTCCTGGGAGGTTTTCCACCATCTCATTGTTACTGGGTCTGTTGCTGTTGTCATGAATACCTCTTTCAACACTTTGAGAAGGGTCTGTTGTTACAGCTCCAGCTCCTGGCATATCATGGCTTGGGTTGTCATCACCTGATTGTGGCGGAGTCAAGAAAATGATTACAATGATGTTAAGCAGAAGTTTCCGTAAAGAGTTTAACAACTCGAATGGAATAGTTTGGTATGACCTCTGGATGCACAGGTTGGCCATAATTCGCTGAGTATTTTGTGTGTTCTTCATTGAAAGTGGAAGTACGTAAAACTCATAAATCACCAAAATATCTGGAATAGAACATATGGAATTATAGGTGTGTATGAAATGATTATCAATAAATATGAAGATGGATATGGAACATAGTGAATTAAACAAACCAGAAAACTCGGAGTTGGTATTAGCTACTGACATCAAATCCTCATAACCTTGAAACCGGGAAAGCTCCTTGGGGATGAAGTTTCTTCTCTCAGGGACATCTTCGAATAGGAGCGAAACATGGGTGTCCGCAAATCTGAAGCTTTGCTTTCTCCGAGTACCATCAAGAATCATTTTTTCTACAGGTGCCATTAATAATCAAAACAGACTTTAAGCGTAGTTACCTTTCCAAGCTCAAAGAAAGGTACATAGTTACTTGACATCACACGTAAATTGTCGAAATCAAGAAACGAATCATACATGCTCAATAAAAATCCTTATTGAACGGTCACCGGAAAATCAACATCACTATTAGGAGAAATCAAAAACAGACTCAACTCCGAATATAGCAAAAGTATACCTTCCAACAAATATGAGTTTATCTTGCGCCTATATTCCTCACCTCCCATAAACGCAGCAACCTAACCTCAATTGTGGAAGAACATCTACCATTTAAACCTAAGAGCAAGCTATTTCCAGTAAATAAGTGGATTTCGTTGTTTCAATAGATTGATAGAAGGATTTAGAGAGTAGAGATGATAACCTTTTTATACTCAAAGTTCCACCGTTTTCCAAGATCAAAGTTTGCAGTGAAGGTAGATCATGGATGATGATTTTAGACAGACTTTAATAAAATGAATCTGTAACTGGTGGATTTCTGGATCGTTAGGAAGATAATGAAACAACTTGTTCAGAACTCTACGGTGTGGTATGATATCGTAACGGCGGAGAAGAAAATAGAAGCAAATAATCGATAACGACGAGTTTCGAGCTATAACTTACTCCTTATAGATGGGCTTTATAAAACAAAACAATGACAACAAATATAAACAAAGCCCAAACCGAATACAAACATAAGTATATGAAACGTAGAGTTTTGTTTAAGTGGGCAAGTGTCGTTAGCAGAGTGCATGAATTGATGACATAGCACTCCCAAAAGAAAGAAAAAGTCTACTTTATATAACTAGATATATATATATATATATATATATATATATATATATATATATATATTGATAGACATACAAGTTAGGAAACTTCTTAAAAGACTTCATGTGAATTATATCTATTTTTTTTCCAATGTGTTAAAAACTATTTGTTTAATTCTTAATCCATTTCTTACAATTCGTGTAGTCACAACTATTGTTTTAATTATAAATATTTGTTAATATTATGGTTGTACAAATTAGAGGATTGTAATAATATAACATTTGACACAAGTTCAACATAACAAGTATAACAATAAGTTCATAACACAATATTATAATTCGAAAACATAAAAAGCATAACAATAATCATAACAATAGATATGGATATATATATATATATATATATATATATATATATAAGACTTTGAATCTACTTAATCTCATGAAATTAAAAAAAAATATATTTTAAGATCTAAGAAGACACATTAAACCACATGACTTGATATTTTTGAAGTTATTTAACACTCTTAAAAGTAAAAGTTTTACAAAAACTAATATAGAAAACTTCTTGAGAAGTCGTCTCCCAACAAACTTCTTAAGAAGTCTTCTCTTATTAATTAGAAACATTAATAAACTTAAATATATATAACCTTATAAATATCCCTAGTTAAGTTATAAACTTCATTCAGGAGTCTCAATATTAACTAATACACATGAAATAACAAAAAAAATTTTAAAATTATTTTAAATTACGAGAAAATGATAGTTTAATATACATTGACGTAGAAATATTCTAATTTAGGTCAATGTTGCAATTACCAATTTACGAGGGAGAAGTCTTCTCTAGACCAGACTTCTAGAGAAGTCTTCTTTACTGAATATTGGCTTACTTTTATTTTGAAGTTTTTTCCATAGTAGTAGAGAAGACTTCTAAAGAAAAATTCTCTAGAAGTTTTCTCTGGAAGTCTTCTCTAATATACATGTTAGTTTTGCAATTGGTCAAAATTTTATCAATATTTGAATTTTCCAAAGAACTCTACAAAAGTCTTCTTGTACAGAAGTCTTCTTACCGTCACATGAAGTCTTCGAAGTGTTGCAAAAAATCTGAATATGTTAGTTTTGTAAATAAAATTTTTTGATTTTTTAAGAGAAGACTTGTTTAGAAATCTTCTCTCAAAACCACATATTTGACCATAATCTCAGAAAAAAAAACTAAAGAATATTAATGTTTAATTTTTTTGTCAAATGAAAAATTAACCAACGTAGACTTACTTACGAAACTTCGAAAACTTCACATTACAGTAAGAAGACTTCTGTAGAAGTTAGAAAAGTCTTCCCTTGGAAGTCTTCTTTGAAAAGTCAAATATATGCAAAACTTCGATCAATTACAAAACTAACATGATTATCAGAAAAGACATATGTAGAAGTCTTCTTTATTTTTTTTGTTACAAAGAAAAATTAGAAGACTTCTATAGAAATCTTATATGAAAAACACATAAAATAGTCTTGGCAAAACTAACCTACCATTGACCAGAAGACTTCTCGAAAAGTCTTCTTCAAGTACAGATCTGAAGAAACGAAAATCATTCTTAGTTCCAATAAGATTCATGTTTAGCTTCTCCAAATACAGATAAATTCTTAATGAAAGTTACCCACCCTTTCTTGACCAAGAAAAATGAACTTGATAACTTCAAATAAGCTAATAATTTTTGAAGTAAAAAGTTGGGATTTTGGAATAAAATGAGCGAGAAAGTGAATGAGAAATTATGTGTGTGTAAGAAATATGGTTGAAATTGGTGGTGGTAGGTATATTGATGATAGTGGTAACGTTGTAAATAAAAGAGGAAGATGATCATGATAAAGTAAAATAATCATTTTCGGAAAGAAAAAAAATAATGGTATTTTCGTGAATAATTTGAATCTTTAGAGTGAATATAACAAGTGAGAATTATAAAAAAAATGACATATTACTTTTAGGATTGACTTCAAGTTTTATCTCATATTTTAAAAATCCTTATACTTATTTGTATTTTACGCCATACATTAAAAGCTACAAAATTATGTCATTTTGTGGATCATCTAGAGTTAGTGAAGTCTTCTGGAAGAAGATTTATGCAGAAGTCTTCTCATGTATATAATCTTAAAATAATTTATAAAATTTTAAATAATCTTTTAGAAAAAATAAAAAGATAGCTGAATATTTACATATTAGAATGGCAGCAGTCGAGTGTCTATGTTTGTCTTGCTTTGGATCAAGGTAGACTCTCAGTCCATCTCATAGTTTTAAAAATTAGAGTTTTTTTGAAAATTACTCAAGAGTTGAAGTTAAACAGAAACATAACTCCACTTTTTGTCAACTACATTTTGTCATAATTTTTCAATACAATCTTTAAGTTTCATAGTATTTCAAAACTGCCATTGTAATTTATTTTTTTTCAATACAATCCTAAATTTTTTTTCTTGTTTACAACAATGCCACTATCGTCACTTTCTCCAAAAACAATAAACAACCATTTTGGAGTTTTTAAAGCTCAAGCATTCAAATTCCATATTCTTTTCTTCTCATTCAACACCAACAACAAAATTAATTTTTCTTTTCACTTTAATCTAAAAACTCCTATAACTACCATTAATTTTCGAACACAACTTTCATACTTTGGTGATTCTTTGCTAAGAATTGTAAAAATACTTATTTTTGCTCGTATCCAGAGTTTGGATGGTGGTTAAGTTTGTTAATGTTTACACCTGAAAAGATAACTATTTGCATGGCTATCATCACTATTCAGATATGTGTCATGAATGTAGACTATTTTGTATGTCTACGCTTGTTTTTGTATACTTACTTTGCAGTCTACTTGTTAGAGCACATGTTAGTTTTTTAATTGACCAACTTTATATATTTGAAATGTAGACTTCAACAGAAGTCGACGTCTTTACCTTTGAAAAAAAAACAAAAATTCTGGTAGACTTACGGAGAAGTCTACGTATAAGAGGTTAGTTTTGCATTTGATCAAACTTTTGATTTTTCATAACAGCTTGTGTCAAGAAGATTGCGCTGAAAGTTTGCAAAATGTCAATTTTACATTTGATCAAAACTTTTATTTTTTTTTAGACTTCGCATGAAATATAGTCAACAAAGATATGTTAATTAGTGATTCACAAAAAAAAAGATATGTTAATTAGTTTTTATTTGACTAAAATGTTAAAAGATTGACCTCAAATTAATTAAAGTGTAAACTTCATATGAATCTACTAATCTTAAGTAAAAAACGTAGACTGCATATGAAGTCTATTATTTAGTTGTGGTCACACACAAAACTCACTCGTCGCTTTTGAGAGTAGACTTCAGGTGATGTCTATACCTTTGTAAACTTCAAACGAAATCTACTCATAGATAGCCAAATTTGGTCAATTGTAAAAAACTAAAATTTTACAAAACTTAAAAGTGTAGACTATATATGAAGTATACTTGAAAGTCAAATACTCAATTGCAAAAAGTAACATTTTGTATGTAGAATACTCGTATAAAATCTATTCGTATAAAACAAAACTTTTTAAATATACCAAAAAGAAATTACACAATTTGTAACTCAAAGAGTAGACTGTTATGACAGTCTAGTTTTGTAAATTGAATCAGAAGTGTACTATGTTGCAGATTTCATATGAAGTCTACTAAGAAAATTCTATAAGAAATGAATTTATGTAAAATTCTTTAAGGTTTTTCACGCTTTCATTGTTCCAGAGTGAGTGTTAATGAATCTTAATGGTCTTGAATGAATTCAAAGTTAATAGTTTATAATTATGGAATTATTAAATTTCTTGTTTGATTATGTTGTTAACTAAATAAAAAATAACCAAATTTTTGTGGATGACTTTTCAAAAACTTTTTTATTGAAATGGGAAAATGGAGATATGAAATATAACATATGTGTCCATCAGTGAGGTCCAACAAATTAATTCTCAATGTACCGGATTTAAATATTCTTTTGTCTTTTGCATGGAAACTGAAATCCAAAACTAGAACATTTAACCTTGCAAGTCCTCTGAGGTTGCCTACTGGTAAACATAAACTTAAAGACATGCAGAATAAGTTATGATACTTAAAGAAGCTGAGTGAATGATCAATTAATAACGTCCTATTTGAATGTCCTTAAGTTTTACAAACATTTGATCTCTTTAATTCCCTTTTTATCCAGGGATTTTCCCTTCATCATCAGTTTTCTC